AAGTTTTATTAATTTTAATAATTTTAAGCGTTTTGTTGTGTCCTTAATAAAAGATAAAATTAACACTTAAACTGTGAATAATAAATATAACAAAATATTATTAAAATGTATGTTAAAGTTAGTTAAAAAAAAAATATTACCTAATAAAATTTTCAATCTTTACAGTTAGTCAACCTATTGAATATAAATATAAATTCTATATAAGGTTCATTTTTTCTTTTCGAGTTAATTTTTATCAAATGCAAGAAAAATACTAAATTATTGTAGATGAGTAAGAATTGTCATATTATCAATAAAAATATTACTTGTATAATATCTAAACTGAAATATAACAAAATCTAAGAAAATATTTGGCAAGATTTGTTAAAAATAAAAATACTACCTAATAAAATTTTCTACCATTCTAGTCAATCAATGTGTTAAATATTATAATATAATAATATTAAATATTATATTTAAGTTATTTTTCTTTCCTAGTTCAAATTTACCGAATGCAACAAAAATACCAAGTGCTATTGTAGATGATAAAAAGTTGTAATATCATTAATAAAAAGAAAATATTTGTATAATATCTAAGTTAAAATACTTTTTCATAGCAGTAAGAACTACTGAATGAAAATGTAAATAGAAACTCATGCTTCCTGAGTACATTTATTTACGTATTTCTCTTTGAAGTTGATAAATACATCGAAAGTTTGATTAATGGTTCTGCCATTTTGTGCAGCGTATTTCCTTGCATTTTTATATTCGAGACTGAGAACCACTTCTTTTATTAGTATCGTACGTTCTTCAGGAACGGATTGACGGATGTACAGAAACCCCATTGTATTTTTGTTGCATAGGAAACAAAGTTATCATTGATGAAGTACTTACAGTTTATCAGTACTTTCTAAGAATTTTACTGAGTTTCAACAATTATACCAATTGTAATAATTATACCAATCGGCGTGTGAAGTCACATTAGCTACTTTCATTTTATGTCCTTTCATAAACATTCATATTTCATAAGGAAATATTTCTAATTGTATTACAAATTATTGAATAATTTTTTTGTAATGTATAAAAATCTTGTAAAACCTTATTTAAATTAATCGATGTAATTTGTAACTACTTAGCTGTGAACTTATATATTTTATTTAAAATATCTTTTTAATTAGCATTTGATACAAATTCAATTTTATTTAATAATTTATAGATGTCATTTTTATTTAATGATTTACAGATATCATTTTTACTTAATAATTTACAAATATAATTTTTGTTTCATAATTTACAGATGTCATTTTTATTTAATAATTTATAGATGTCGTTTTTATTTAATAATTTATAGATGTCATTTTTATTTGATGATTTACAGACGTCATTTTTATTTAATAATTTACAAATATCATTTTTATTTAATAATTTACAAATATCATTTTTATTTAATAATTTGCAAACATTATTTTTATTTAACAATTTATTAATAATTGTTAGATGTATTTGATAACCTCTAAGAACAGCCGCTAACATTTCCTCCCACAAAAATACCAAAACAAATTTTCAGTTTGCAACAAAATATATATCCCAACTTGAATTTTCTTTCATTATTACAGAAGAATGCACATATTTTGTCAGCAACAATTTAAACCTTCGTGTTCTAGATTGTTAGATAATGAGTTTTAAACTAGGCAACTAATTCGTGCTCACAAAGTGTCTCCGGTTAGTTTAAAAACAGTATTAGCTTTAATCACAACATGCGTAGTTTGTCTTACTTTTCGCAGACCAAACTCAAAGAAGATTCTCGCAGAATTTTTCCCAGAAAAGTCAACTGTTTCCTCGACTCCTTGTTAAGAAATTACTCGTCACTGACAATGCATTTATTTACAAGGAACGGATGTGCATACAAGCATCCACTGTAAATGTGAATTACAAATCATTTACGTCCACTGCAATCTTCATCCATAAAATAATTAAAAGTAAATAATGCGTGTTTTAAAATTAAAAACGCGAACTATTTTTTATTTTAAAACACGCATTATTTGTATCACTCTATTAGGAAACCTTACGCAAATGCTTTCCACTTAAATTGCACCTGTTTCTATCACACTTTCTAAGGTCAAGGAATTTGCAAATTCCAAGAAAAGACGCAAATTAAAATAACAAAAGTTATATGCAGAGAAAGTGTAGCACTGTTTAAATTGCGGTTTATTTTCGCAGTACCGGTTATTTTATTTTGTAGAAAAATTTATCTTGTCATTGAAACGAGTTCCGAGCTCGTTATCCTTATTCAAGTTAATGGAGAACATCACGATCACGGAACTCACAAAATGTAAAACGCGACAAGTACTTTTACCCGAAGTTGTCCGACTTCTTTCGTTTTTGCGCGCGCGATTTAATCAATCAAGCAAATAAACGAGCAGCCGTATGTGCACGTGATTTGCACAATTAAATTTATCCAGAAACTTTCACGGAAGTGCACCGCACGGATTTCCGCACTCTTTTATGAAAGACCCTCGAATAACGCTCTCGATTGGAAACATTTCGAAGGTAACACGATTTTGTCATGCAATAATTTATTACTTCCGTTGCGCTATGAAATATCTTGATCTACCCGTTCTGCTGTAATTCATAAAATGCACTTGATATGTAGATTAAACTTCACTTTAACCTTTTTTCGATACGATTACGACTCAATTTTTACCCTTCGAATATTTCGTAACTTTTGTGTAAGTTTTTGTTTTAATTTTTTCGATGTTTAGTTTTTAATAATAGATTTTTATGTACACATTTTTATTATTATGGAATTTCTTGAACTTTTTAATGTTACTATCATTAGATTCATTCATAGTGAAATTATTAATAAATTATAAAATTGCTTTTGAAAATTATTATTGAATCTACAATATAACCTTTGATTGACAAATTAAATGTAATATTATGAACTATTATTTAAACTGATATCATAAACGTCCTTGTAGCACTTTGAGCAAACTATTAATTTAATTGATTTTATTTTGTAAAATATATTTAATTTTCATTATCCTATAAATATATGAAATGTATTTATTATTTACTATTTTATAAATATATAAAATGTATTTATTATTTACTATTTTATAAAAATATAAAATGTATTTCTTCTTTATTATTTTATAAATATATTCAAAATAATTATTGTTTATTATTTTGTAAATATATGAAATACATTTATTATCCACTATTTATAAATATACAAGATATATTTATTTTTTATTATAATTCACAGGTGATTTTAAATTAGTCATTTGCGTCACTGTTCAAAATCTTCTACGCAGTTCTATTTTCTCTCAAACCAAACAACAAATAGAATCGTATTCAAATTTTTATGCCAGCTCATTTTATTCTGCTAATTGTGGTTTGCACGACGGTAAACGTATCAACCGCGAACTCTTGCCTGAAGATCAAAATACAATCTACAAAGCAATAATAGTAAGATTTACATTATATAACATGACCTATGTACTATGTAAATACAAGAAAAATAGAGATTGCCAGTTACACGCAGTATCCTATATCCTTTGTTAAAATTTTCCCACTAATTAGCTCGGAATTATTTATGAAACATCTTCATCGAATATTTGAAATAACTTTCCGTAACTTTGTTTACCGACCTTGACACGCAATGGTCCTTTTTAAAAAGAGGTAATACTGTTATCGGAATAATAAAACGTTGTAGTCAAAAGAAACTAGAACGTGATAAATTATACAGTTAATTATTAACGATTCTGATCGTTGCAGCATGGTTATGTGTTAGCGGTACGATCCTTATCGACGCTTAAACAATACCATGTCTCGAAGTCACGCACCATGTTGAATTATTTTCAAACTGTGAACGCTATCTGGCACGTTTTCAACATCAAGTTGGCGTCTCTTGTCTCGTTGTCAAACACATTCATTGCGGGATCAAACTAACAACTGTTTCCAAATGACAACTTTGAACAATTAACTGATGAACAAAAATTTAGGTTACTTTGAAAGTATGCTAATAATGCTTTTTAGATATAGTGTATATTGTTTATTATATTTGAAAGTTAAAATTTGTTCAAGCAAATTTGACATATTCTACTGTTTAGATAGTTTAGATATTTAATTATTATATTGTGTATAATTATTATTATTTCCAGATAATAAATTGATGTAAAACAATTTCACTATGAATTAATATTATCTCCAGATAATAAGTAGATATTAAATAATGCAACTTCAAAGAGTAATATTATTATTTCCAAATGATAAATGAGATGACAAATATTGCCATTTCTAAAAGTAATATTATCTTCAGGCAATAAGTAGATGTTAAATAATGCAACTTTAAAGAGTAATTGATTTCCAGATAATAAATAAGATAACAAATATTGTTATTTCTAAACGTAATATTATCTTCAGACAATAAGTAGCCATTAAATAATGCAACTTCAAAAGTAATATTATTTCCAGATAATAAATTAAATATCAAACAATGTCACTCTGAAGGTAATGTTATTCTCAGCTAATAAATATCAAACAATGCTACCTAAAGTATTAACAAACCCAGGTAATAAATTAGATTATCAAATAATGCTATTAAAAAGAACCATATTACCCCCAGAAATAATTCTACTCAAAAAACTCCAGGGGCCAATGATCCTAGCAGTCGAGGTCCTTATAAAATCAATCAATCAATCGAAATTTCAACTTATAAAAAGAAATGAAGGATATTTTCCTCACCATCTGTGAAATTGCACTTCCCTATTCACATATCAATCCAAGTGACAATATACAAGATTAGCCTACTTTAAAAGCATATATACCGAAATCTAGTGTCAAATAGGTCCAAAGCTAGACAGTAAAATGCATCGGTCAGTTTCCGATCAGACCAAAAACTTTTCCAACAGACCAAAATTTTTCCAACAACAAATCCCTCCAGTTGCCTTTCATGAAAACAGATTCGTTTCCCCAATTTGTCCAGGTAACGGTAATATCTCAGATTTGATGCTTACCGGTGGTGGTTCGGCAGAGGAGTAGACCTCGCTGGGGGCGTAATTGCTGTGAGGCGGATGAGGCATCTTCTCCGAGACAACGGCTACCGTGGCCAAAGAATCCGGTTGTTCTTTCTCCATCTTCTGTACCTGTATCGGACACTGATTGACAACCGGTGTTCTTTCGTGCAAGGACCCTTCAATGACGATAAATCCTCTTTTTCTCGATCGACGAGTACACTCGATGTCGATCGCTCGGCGAATCGACGAGCAGTGAGTGCCCGGCACCGTCTGACACCGCTAGCTTACCGTTACCCCCACCAGCTGTGAAGCTAGTGAACCTTCTGGTACACCTTTCTGATGGGTATGTCTTCTGGTACCAAGGTGTACCTCACCGTGTTCTCGTTGTCGGACTTTCTAAACACCGACCACGGTCTGTGCTTGTGTGTCCGTGGGCGAGACCGAAATGTGTACACGTGAATCCGTTGCCGCTAACCAACCTCGTGTGGGGATCAACGTTCAAACACGAGTTTTGCAATGTTTTTCTTCTCCTCTGTCCTCTTCAGCCATGCCATCCTTCCTCGCTGTATTCCATTTTTCCCCTTCTTTGGCAAAATTGCAGCAACGAACCCTGCAACGAAGACGAACTTGTTTTTGAATGTACAACTCTCGCCGATCGACTTTTATAGGACATATGGTTGTTTAACGTGTATGCACACGGAATTGTGAATGTACGTGGATAGATTTGTGGCAAGAGTGGCAGAGGTTCAGTACGTGTAGCCGGTGAGGCATTTAAAAGTTTTCACCTCGATCGAAGTGGCTAAGTTCTATCTTTATTTATGATAAAAACGTGCGTTTTCGAAACAATGACATCTTTGAATGTTTGTGGAAGATCTATGGAACGGATTTGACTTGTTGGAGGTTTATAGGAATGAGGTAATTAGTTGTGTATGACGAATATTGGAAGTAGAGACTTTGTCTTGCAAAATTTAGTAATTATACAAATATTGTGAATATACAATAAATACGTTTAATTTATTTATAAAAATGTTCTTGAATGGATAGTGCAACTACATGCGATGATTCTTTATAAGAATATGAGTGAAAAGTATTAAGTGACTTATTTGCAGCTTCGTTTTTAAAAAAATTTTTGGGAACTCTTCAAAATTTTTGTTATCTTATTAATTTAATAATTGATGACTGTTATAAATTAATACATATTGTTATTAATACCGTCGAAATATCTTATTAGTTAATGTCTTTCGTATTTTTATTCATGCGTGTGTATATTAAATACTTTCTAATATTTACCCTTGCTTCCCTTGCTAGGGAGCTCTTCAACCCCCAAACCCTAGCCATCTTTCGATACTTTTGACAATTTTTCTGGAGGTTTTGACCCATTTTAAGAAAATTTAATTCTGTGATAAAAAGTCGTATCTGTCATAGTTCGACCTGTACATTTTTACACGTGTGTGAAAGGTTAGATATAGTTTTATAGTATTTTGATTTCTTAATTTTCAACCAAATTCATTTTGATTTCAAGAGCAGTACATTTTAGCAGTATTTAGTAATTTATACTATCCATCAATTATTAACAGTAATCCATTAAATACTTAATTATGAATTATAAACAAATTTCTATCGAAAAATGTTCAAATTTAATTTTCTCGAAAACAAAGCAATTATAGAAGAAAATCGTTATGCCGTGTTCTCTACTTATTAATTTATTATGTTAATTCAGCACTATCAGAATGCAATTATCACTCATTTTGTACAAAAGTGTAGGTGATTATGAAAGCAGAATAAATTAAAATTCTTGTTAGAAAAATTGAACTTTCCTCTTACCTTGTATTATATCGATTAACTTCACTATGTTATGGAAGAATTTTTGAAAAATTTTTGTAAATAAAATTTTTAATGATGTTGGTCATTGTATGGTTGATATTTAGGTTGCATGTATTTTTGCAATGGTCATTTACTAATTGTTTAAGTTATTTTTATGTAATATAAATATAGTATGTCAATATCCAAAATATCTACTTTTAGACGTATAAGTTTTCTAAATCTTGGTAAGGTTATTTTTATTTAAAGAAAATATTTTCAAAAGTATTTAATAATAAATTACTACAATATTACATAAATATTCTTATGCTTTTCTTATTTAAAACATATCGTTCAAATGTTATGTTTACAAAAATCTTCTACTTTTCAAAAATAACTTATGTTATCATTTACCATACAGAAATAACTTAAACAATCGTAATATCTTTTAACATTTCCAACAGATCAACTTTAACCCAAGAATTATCTAATAAAATATGAATCAAATACGTAGGATTTAGAAGCAAATGAAATCCATATATCTAAGTCATATTTAGTACATGATGCGTAAAGTCGATTATAATGTTCAACAGCCGTCAGAACATAATTTAAAGTAAAAAAATTAGAAATTGTGTAAGAAAGGCGGTCGAATCTGCACTTTTCATTCACTGACTTGCAACTCGTAATTTGTAACTCGTAGTGCGTAAAGTGCATCTCGCAACAATTCATATCTTTTTTTTGTGTACAAACCAATGAAAGCTACAGGCAGGCATGCCAACGTTTAAGAAACATTGAATTCATGAATAATACAGTGGTTTCTTTACATTTTTATTGCACGAAACATGCGGACAATAGGATATCTTAAAAGATAACGTTCGAAGTTTACAATTAATCTGACAGTTTAGATTGATTTATTTATTTGAGAATGTATTACTGGTTGAACAAAGTGAACTGGCATTGGATAAAAATCGATATTTTGTCATCAATTTTTCTCGACAATCGACGCAAATTTTTTGTGAATTTCAGTAAAAAATTATGCAGAAATAATTAGATAAACACTGCGTACATTTTATTCTTGCTTCTACTTTTCTGTTTTTCTCTTTTTAACATAAAATTTTGATTTTTACTTCTTTTATCAAAATTAAATTTAATTAGACTTCTTTTATCAAACTTAAGTATTTAATTATTATTTTGATTAAATTTATCAACTTGTATGTCTTTTGATTTTTCCAAAACTAGTGACAAATATAAAACTAAAATTTTACTGAATTTTGTCTTTTTTTTTTAATTACGAGAATATAATTTTGGTATTTAGAAAACTTGTAAATATAGAAAAATAATTTTTGTAAATTTTGTTTTGTTTTCTTAATATGAAAAAATTGCATCTTTTGTAAGCCATTTTCGTAAACTTTGTTTGCTGTCAACAATAAGAAAGTTTGCTGATCAGACAATTGTTGGCGCCGTAATTATTCCGTGAAACAAAAATAAAAACACATTTCTTGCGACACTGCTTTTTTATATTGAATTATATTTTGTATTGAAGTTATTTTGTTTTTTGAATACAATCTCTGATCGCCAAGTGAGTTACTTAAGGTCTGTTAAACTAGCTGGTTGCTAGATAATCTTTAATAATTGAATAATATATGTATCTCTGTAATTATACTAAACTACGCTATTTATCAAATATTTTTATTTGTTACATTTAATACACTCTTTTTATTAATTTTCACCCGAAAATGCGAATCTATAAATCGTATTTTCCTAGCATTGTTTTTTAAAAGTTTGTTTGGAAGAGACATTTTCGGACTTTAAATACGTCTTCTATTTTAACAAAAATATTTAACAATACTATTTTAATAATAATAATTTAGTTGTATCTTACCTGAAATAATGTTATGGATTTTCCTAAATAAAATTACGTAAATCACTGTTAGATTATAAAAACACAAACTATATGTGCTCCAATAATAGCAAAAATAAACAGACTATCCAAAATCAATTTTCACAAATTGTCACGTAAGTTTTTACGATTATTTTTTAATACATGAGGATCTTAGAAAAAATCTTACAAACTTTCACAATAGAATATACACTTTTCTTATTGGAAACATCGATAAAAGTTTTTGTTGATTATTTTTATCAATTAATTAAGTAAACATTTATAACTTTGTCATATTAAATAAGTACATTTCATACTACATTTTATTATTTTACAAATGTATTTATCTTTCAAAAATATGTACATTAATAACAGGATTTAAAGTTATGAATTTAGTAATTCTAAAAAGCGATATAAAAAAGATCGACGATGGCCGAATGAAAGTATTTATCGTTTGTTATTATATAAATTAATCTTGATAATTTTGAGCCACCAGATCGAATCTTTCGATCTATCATGTAGTAGTAAAAAAAAGACGAATCTACAATGCTCGACAAGAAAAATAGTTATAAAGTGATTTTTTTACGTTGAACGTGGTTCGCAGTCAAGCAGCGTTACCTGTATACAGGAAATGCTGACCAGAGGAACCGCGGAAGTTCATATTACAGCGTTCGTTAATGGTGGAAAGGCATGTGTGCGTGACAATGACCAGAGAGACATTGGGAGAAATGATACAAGGAAGCGATATAAGTCCTTTATTTATCGACATCGTTTGAATGTATACAATACTTTCGAAATGTCACGTGCAATAAATTTTTAACTAAGTATGAAAGTTTTGTAATTTCACGTGCCGTTTATTTTGGAAGCGGACTAAGTCCATTTGTCAGTTACTTGTTGTTAACTATAGTAACATGTACCACTGGATATTACTCATAAAATTATCATAAAAACATTTTATGGTTAAGTATATTTAGAGTATACGATCATTTTTTACATATTTTTGCAGTTATTTTTATAGTTGAAAAATTAACTTTGGAAGTGGTCTAAATTTGATCTACTTTTGATAGAAACGGCGGATTTTTAAATGTTCAAAGGCAATGACGGTGGTAATTGCGATGAATTATTTATTAGTTAATATAATAATCAATTACTGTAGTGTTAATGCGATATATGTATACCACTGAAGCACCATGGCTTCTTCAAATTCCTCCCGTATACTTAAAATGTAGATGAGCAGTAAATTATTATGTAATTTGTATAAGGTGAAGTGGGGTAAGTTCGTAAACGGGGCAAGTGCGTATACAAACTATTTTTATTACAATATGAGCGAAATTTCTCCGTTTAGTATGTTTGTTTCCTTGTTTTGTTTCACTATATCCCTTTTTATATTTCAGCTAAGTGTACTTGCTTGCAGTATAGAGTACTTGCATAATGCAGTAAAAAGCATTTATAGCAGATTTTTTAATAATTCTGCTCTTGCCTCATTGCACATGAAATAAAGTTTCAAAGTATTTAACTTCAAGTTACGCTCTTACTCCATTTTCGGGGAAAGTGCAGAGTAGTTGACATTTTAAACAATTTCCTATCAAAATCAAAATGTAGAAGGAAAATTAAGGTCCTAGTTAATATTAATTAAATAGTAGTAATTGTGCAAAACGTTCGATATCGACAGCGTTGAGTATTTGCATAGCAGACTGAAAATACTTACGTTTAAATACCAACTTTACAAAAACCAGTCTTTATTTACCCCACTTCACTTTTAGTTAAAAGATTTCTTAATTAGGTAGCACT